CCAGTGCAGCTGGGAGCTGTAACGTGTTCCTTAGCAACAACCACGAGAAGCAGACAGGACCAGCAGCAGCATCTCAGCGTTACAGATGAGGAAACAGAGGCTGTGATGGGCTGAAACATGTGCCCAATCAGCAGGCACCTTAGAATACGACCATGTTTGCGGATAGGCTCTTTATTGAGGCAATTAAATGAAAATGAGGTCATTAGGGTGGGCCATCAGCCCATCTGACTGGTGTTCAGGTAAGAACAGGACAGAAGGCTACACAGGGGCAGGACCCTGTGAAGTCACAGAGAGAAGGTGGCCATCAACAAGCCACGAACAGAGGCCTCAGAAGAAACCAACCCTGCCAACACTTCGATTTTGGACATTCAGCCCCAGAACTGTGAAGAAGTAAATAAATGTTTGCTGTTTCAGCCGTCCAGGCTGTGTTACCTTGTTCCAACAGCCGTCGCAGACTCAGACAGAGGGGGTCACAACAGAGGAAGACAGAGCTGGCTTCCGGTGTGACTCTCCTCTCTCCTGGGATAATAACTCTTAAAACACTGGTGTCTGCTTTTGGAGTTAATTATTTTTGATGTAAAATAAATGCTAAAAATAGTAACACAGGGCCCTAGCCAGTGTGGCTTAGTTGGTTGGAGTGTCGTCCCGTCCACTAAAGGTCAAAGGTTAGATTCCTGGTCAGGGCACATACCTAGGTTGGGGGTTTGATCCCCCGTTGAGGTGCGTTGATGTTTCCCTTTCTCTCTCTCTAAAATCACTAAAAATATATCGTCAGGTGAGCATTAATATATAAATATACACACACACACAGAGCGAGAGAAACTCAAATGCAATTTTGTTTTACTATTTTACCATCTAGCGCTACTATCACGTGTCACTTCTGCCACGTGGAGGAGGAAGACACCGAAGTTCAGATGGCCACAAGAGACCACGAAAATGCACGTGGAAGACCCTAAATCGCATCCGAGAGGAGAAATTAAAATGACCACGCAGGACAAACAGAAAGTTTTAAACTAAAAATAACCACTTAAAAATCAAAAAACATTTCAAAATATCCCATGTACCATTTTAGTTGTTGAGAGTGGCCAAAAAACCTTCAAAAACTCAAGCTCTCACCCAAAGGGGGAAAAAAGGCTCACACAGACTCCATACTTCCCTGCCAAGTTCTAGCCTTCCAAACTGGAGTGATATTTTATGAATCAGTTTATAAGGTCCTAAAAATAAGGAGCTATAACAGAAATAGGACCAGCCTGTCCCCTCTCTGGGAGCCCCAAAGACTTCTAGAAATACTCAGCTGGACCCAAGAGAAGGCAGTGGTTCCCCAGGAGGCCTTCCCTGTGTTCGTCGGTCTCCCCATAGAGAGCATGGCAGCCTACCTTCCCCAACTCTCAGGTAGACTGAGTGCTTCACGGAGAAGGAGGAGCAGGAGGAGGAGCAGCAGGAGTAGCAGGAGGAGGAGCAGCAGCAGCAGGAGGAGGAGCAGCAGGAGGAGCAGCAGCAGGAGGAGCAGCAGCAGGAGGAGCAGGAGCAGCAGGAGGAGGAGCAGCAGCAGGAGGAGGAACAGAAGGAGGAGCAGCAGCAGCAGGAGGAGCAGGACCAGCAGGAGGAGCAGGAGGAGCAGCAGCAGCAGGAGCAGCAGGAGGAGCAGCAGGAGGAGAAGCAGCAGCAGGAGGAGCAGCAGCAGGAGGAGCAGGAGCAGCAGGAGGAGGAGCAGCAGCAGGAGGAGGAACAGAAGGAGGAGCAGCAGCAGCAGGAGGAGCAGGACCAGCAGGAGGAGCAGGAGGAGGAGCAGCAGCAGCAGGAGGAGGAGGAGCAGCAGGAGGAGCAGCAGCAGGAGGAGCAGCAGGAGGAGCAGCAGCAGCAGGAGGAGGAGCAGCAGCAGCAGCAGGAGGAGGAGCAGCAGCAGGAGGAGGAGCAGGAGCAGCAGGAGGAGGAGCAGCAGCAGGAGGAGGAACAGAAGGAGGAGCAGCAGCAGCAGGAGGAGCAGGACCAGCAGGAGGAGCAGGACCAGCAGGAGGAGCAGGAGGAGCAGGAACAGCAGGAGGAGCAGGAGCAGCAGGAGGAGCAGCAGCAGGAGGAGCAGCAGGAGGAGCAGGAGCAGCAGGAGGAGGAGCAGCAGCAGGAGGAGGAACAGAAGGAGGAGCAGCAGCAGGAGGAGCAGGACCAGCAGGAGGAGCAGGAGGAGCAGCAGCAGGAGGAGCAGCAGGAGGAGCAGGAGCAGCAGGAGGAGCAGGAGAAGCACCAGCAGGAGGAGGAACAGAAGGAGGAGCAGCAGCAGGAGGAGCAGCAGGAGGAGGAAGAGCAGCAGCAGGAGGAGCAACAGGAGGAGGAGCAGCAGCAGGAGGAGGAGCAGGAGGAAGAAGAGCAGGAGAAAGAGGAGGCGGAGCAGGGGAAGGGACAGCAGAAGGAGGAGGAGGCGCAGGAGAAGGAGGAGGAGGAGGAGCAGGAAGAGAAGGAGGAGGAGCAGGAGGAGGAAGAGGAGCAGGAAGAAGAGGAAGAGGTACAGAAGCAGGAAGAGGAAGAGGGGAGGAGGAGGAGGAGGAGGAGCAGGAAGAGAAGGAGGAGCAGGAAGAGAAGGAGGAGGAGCAGGAGGAGAAAGAGGAGCAGGAGCAGGAAGAGGAGCAGGAAGAGGAGGAAGAGGTACAGAAGCAGGAAGAGGAAGAGGGGAGGAGGAGGAGGAGTTATCTGACACCCCCCACCTGCATGAGCCAGCTGGCTACTCCTACACCATGTCCAAGACTGAGGAGACACACACTTAAGGACAAGGCCCAGTGACCCCTATGGCCACCATGTTTAGCCACAAGGAACATGTTCCCACGGGGAAGCTTGGATTCCTCTGAGTAATCTTTCCAGGAAACTTCAACAATGCCTTTTGCTGTTGTCTCAGTAAATTAGTTTTCTGAACTCCCAATGCTCGATGATTAGTCACGAAGCCTAGTAAGAGGCCCGATGTCCTTCTGAGCACAGCAACAAAGCTCACAGTGCCTCATGCAAAGGAGGAAGGACCAGAAGGAAAACTATACCTTTCTCCTGTTTGCGTTCCTGCCCAGGCCAGAGCCTCACACAGGCCTGTGTCTCCCGCGTGGCAAAGCACACTGATGTGAGATGTGGGGGCAGGGATGGGAGATTATTTTTAAAGCAACATCAGAAATGTTGCTCAAACCCTGGCCAGTTTGCCTCAGCGGTTAAAGTATCGGCCTGCGGACCAGAGAGACCCGGGTTGGTTCCCGCTAAGGGCACGTACCTTGGTTGCAGTTAGTCCCCGGCCCCGGTTGGGGTTGTGTGGGTGGCAGCCAGTTGATGTGTCTTTCTCACATCGATGTTTCTCTCTCTCTCTCTTCCTCCCTCTCTCCCTCCTGCTCCGTCTGAAGATAAATGCAAAAAAAAAAGTCCTCAGGTAAGGATAAAAAACTAACTTTGGCTCAGCAGAAATGTCTCTCTGCACCTTTGCACGACCGCTCGTTTTAACTTAGTTTCCATCACACCCTGCCCACTAACCCCAGGGACCAAAATGCAGACGCAAGCGCAGTGTCTCATTGTGTCAGCAACCCTCGCTCCCCCCCTCAAGAGGAGGGCAGCGGGCAATCAGACAGACAGGCCGTGACATCACCCACGCGCCCCGACTGGCCACTGCTGAGCGCTGCTTTGACTGGAGGGGAAATGAGGTGAAAACACTCTTGCCCTTGGATTCCATGGTGTGTTCTAGGGCCTGGTAATGTTCTGCGGAGGTCTATCCTCCCTGCTTTTGTAAGGGTGCGGGAAGGAGCAGGCACACCCCAAAGCTTAATGGCATCCCCTCTTCACTGACCACTCCGAGCTCTCCAGAGGCTGCAGAGACGGCCGGAGTCCAGCAAAATCACCTCCCGTACCTCCCTGATGACTGCAGGTGACGCTAAGGAGGGCGCCCACCTGCACAGGATCAGGACCGAGAAACAGCTGAGCTGGGCAGCAAGCTCATTTCTGAACAAAAAAAGCGTCCTAAATGCGAGCCACATAACTGATTATTTAGGATTCTGATTATTTACAGGATCACCGGGATGCTAAACCGACACACACTATACCCTTCTAGAAAGAGACGTCTCTAAACTACAAAGCACAGCACTCAGAGCTCAGCCACGGGGTCCCGTGGTCTCCAGGTAGGAAATGCCACCTGTGAGCAGCAGGACGTCTGTCTTCATCAGGGGACAGTCGCAAGCTGACGAGGGACACAGTGCCATGAAAAGTTCCAAACACCACAGCTTGCTCAAACAGAGGCACACCCAGAATGTAAGAAGACGGGGTTCTCCCCTCAAGCTGCTTATTAGAATCGCCTTTAAAAACACTGACACCCCATTGCCCCCAGACCAATCGGATCAGGGTCCCGGGGACAGGTCAGTGCGTGGCATTTTTTAAAGCCGTGCTTCCTGGACTTTCACGTGATCGGATTTACCTGGACAACCTGCGAAGGTACTGTGACTGGACCTACCCCCCCCCCCCCACAGTTTCTGATGGGGGAGCAGGTTCTGAGAATACGTTCCCGGGTGATGTTGATGCTGCTGGCCAGGTGCCACACTCTGAGAACCACTGTTTCGTGGGTTGCCCAGGTGACTGATTCACGCAGCCAGGGCTGAGGACCACTGTCTTAGAAAAGCAAGCTCTGGCCAGGATACCGACGGGAGGGACTCTCCCCTCAGCTTTGCAGCAGCTTGAGGTCTGATAACAATAAGCCATCGAAGTTTTCGAGCCTCAACCTGCAACTGAGACACCGCATTCATGAGACCCTGGGTGCCTTCCAGAAATGCCTCTTTCAAAGGGCTGCTGCACAGGAAAAGCTGACACTAATCCACAGATAAAGGAAAGAGCAGAGGCCCGTAAGGGAATCTAAAAAGCTTTCCAAGTACAAGAAGAGGTTAAGTTCTTGCTTCCCTGACTTCGGTGCATTTGGGGACACGCCAGTGGGGGTGGTCGGTGGACAGGCGCCGGTGCCAATGTGAGTCAGTCACCCCGTCTTCCAGACTCACCTGTTAGAACCTGGCACAGCTGCCCGGGCTCCTGGGCCTCGCTGGAGGGGCTGGGTGGCAAGGACCATTTGCGCCGGACCAGGTGTTCCCGCCCGCTGAGCGAGCCCTGGGACGTGTTCAGAGGCTGGATGAGCACCTCCTCCTGGCCCAGCTGGATGACGCCGACCTGCCCAGAGAAAGGGAAATGGGGTGTCGGTCACCTTCATTCACTCACTCGCCCGTGACCCCAACAGCCCAAGGGCAGCCAGGCCCCGTGGCCATGGCCTGGATCCACATCCGGGCTTTGTCTCTGCAGGCTGCACGCACCCAGGGAGGAGCTGCGACGTGGCCTGAAGCACCCGACCAGCACTTGTGTTGGGAAGGGGGGCACGAGGTGTGGGGGCACAGGGATGGGCAACAGCACCCACTTTCCGGATTTGCCTTAGAATATTTATTCATTAAAATAAACTGGACTTTGTAAAAAGGGTTGTTTAAATTGATTTTGAGAGAGAGGGAGAGAGAAACATGGATGTGACAGAGAAACATCAGCTGCCTCCTGCATGCCCCCTACTGGAGATCGAACCCACAACCCTGGCACATGCCCTGACCAGGAATCAAACCGGCAACCTTTTGGTGCACAGATGACGCCCAGCCCACTGAGCCATACCAGCCAGGGCCAAACCTGGTGTGTTTTTGTTTTTGTTTTTGTTTTTTATCCTCACCCAAGGACATTTTTTTGCATTTATCTTCAGATAGAGTGGGAGGGAGAATGGGAGGGAGAGAGAGAGAGAGAAACATCAACGTGAGAGAGACACGTTGAGTGGTTGCCACCCACACGACCCCCACCAGGGCTGGGGACAAACTACAACTGAGGTACGTGCCCTTAGCGGGAACTGAACCCAAGACTCTCTGGTTCACAGGCTGACGGTCTAACCGCTGAGCCAAACTGGCCAGGGCCAAACTTGGTTTTTAAATTAATTTTTTAAATCATCCCCAAAAGTCCACCTGAGGAGGCAACCCTAACCGTGTTGGGAATGACAATTATATCCTTAATGAGAAAATGGCTCTCTCTCTGGGGACATTTAGAATTAAATAGAAGATGGTCAGTCAGACCTGCATGGTCACTAGCTCTATGATAGGGGGTTTGTACTTTTTTTTTTTCCCCCAGAAATTGTAGCATTTAAGACAAAGTATCCAATGGGTGATATTTGTAACTCTAATTTAGACTTGGGATCTCAAAATCTTCTTAGGATTATAAGCAGCACTTCAGTTTATAAGAACATAGAAGAGAACTTAAGACTTCCCATGTTTATAAGACTAATTTATTAGGTTTATAGGAATCACTTAAGTATGTGCAAACAAGGGTTTGTTCTTTAATCAAAGAACTGAAAAATGAAGTTGAGTACGTTAAATTTCTAAACGCAGTTGGAAAGGGTCGAAAAAGCTGTTAATCACCAAATCTGTAAATGGGCCCCAAGACTCCTTCACAGAGATCGCAACAAGTTGCTAGATGATAAAGAAAACGCGATTTATAAATGGAATGAAAAATGCAAGAACTAGGATTTTTAATTGGCTGCTTTAGTAGAATGACTATTAGTTCTAAAAATACATCCGTACATATGAAGCAGAGAGCTAGTCCCCTTGCTCGGAACTGAGGGTCCTTCCCCAGGGTCCTTCCCCAGGGTACACAGCTCGCTCCCCTTTGATTGGGCGTCTAGAGGACAGGGAAACCTCCCCCAGGGACCCCGCGGGCGGGGAGGACTCATGTTTGCACACCAGGCTGCCGTCCATGCCCCGCCGGGGTCGATGTCTGACTCAGCAGAGCAGGAGGGTCAGTCTTAGGCTGTCCCAAACATCCCTTCTCTCTCTGTCCCACCACTGTTGTTTAAAAGCGATGACACACTACATCACTCCTTCTCAAACCCCAGTGCCCATCAAAGCCCCTGGACGTCTTGGGTGGGGCCCAGAACACGCCCTTCTAACAGGTCCCCATGTGATACTGACGCTGCCGTCGGGGGACCACACGTCGAGAAGCACTTCCATCCGTGGTGATTCCTCCAGTATCCGGCACAGAACTGAAACCACACGGTCCGGACCCCTCCACCTCCCGAAAGGCTGCATCCACACCAAGCCTCTTCGAAAGCCAATCAGATCACCCGGGAAGATCGCCTATAACCGCCAGTCCTCAGGACACGGGGTGAGCCTGCACTTACCGCTCTAAGCAGATTTCAAGGCTTCTAATTCATTACAACGTCTGCCAAGAACAACTCAGAGGTTTTACTGCCCAAATAAAACTCTTAAAGTGGCACTGCCTGACCTGCAGGGGAACAGGGCCTACTGCCCTCTCTCTCCCTCCAAGTGGCAGCCTGGGTGTGTCCACTCCAGCGCTCGGGGGAGCCTGACGGGGTGAAGGCAGAGGGGGGCTGCGGGGGGCCCACGGGAGCTGGTGTGCAGAGAGTTCACGTGGAAACCCTCAGTGACCACAGGTGAAAACTTCCCCAGCAAATCAGGTTGGCAGGTGTGGCAGGAGGCATGGATGCGTTCCAGCCGGAGGAGCCCGTGCTCCGGGGAGGAGATCCTCAACCCTAACAGGGCCGGACCCTCCAGAAAGGCTCAGGCCGAGGGCCCCCTCGGGTCTCACACTTTCAGCCCAGCGTTTGCATTCACAGGTGGCCCAGCGAAAGGCCAGTCAGCAGGGAGTTCCAACGGAACGCAACATCGGGAGACTCACCCCGCTCAGAAACCCTACAGGCACTAACACGCGGTCTAGCCCCTTGGGGAGGTTTGGCTTTAGGTTTTGTTTGGAGGGACCCACATGCTGGCTCGTCACCTCCTCCTGCCCCCCCCATTGCTATCACCAGAGACTCCCCAGTCAATAGTCAGTAAGGCTCCTCATTGCCCCTAGGCCAGTGATCCTCAACAACGAGGTCCAGACCAGCAGCACCTGGGAACCTGCTAGAAATTCCAGCGCTCAGGCCTGGGTGGGGCCCGGCCACCCCGTCACAAGTCCTCCAGGGCACTCTGACGCCACCGCTGCTCTAGGATAAGGTCTAAGTGCCTCAGGCTGGCACCCAGGGCCCAGCCTCACCTAGTCCACCACCTGTCCACCTGTTCATCTGCCGCCAGCTCCTAGAAGAATCCCCCCCACCCCTGTCCCACAGCCAACTTGTGGGCCCTTCTCTGGGGGCGGACCTGGCCATGATCCGCCCTCTTTAACCTGAGACCCAGCCCATCGGCTCTGACCCTTCTGGCACCCCCCGCCACCCGGCAGACACACGGCACCTTTGTCCTGTGCCAGTCTGGACTGTCCTTCGTGCATGGGCTTTTCTTTGAGGCTTGATGGGAGCCTGCCAGGGTGCCCTGCTCACGGCAGGTGTGTGACAGTGACCTGTCCTTCGGTCGACAGTGATGACTGACTGGCTGATGTGTAACTGGCCAAGTCACCCATGCCTCCACGTGCCAGCTCTCACCTAATGAGTTCACAGACTTCATCTACTTCACTGTCACCCGCCATGCGAGGCCGATGGTATCCACCCACCCCTGCCCCGCCCCTCCGTGGGGCTGCAGGAAGGGAGGTTCCGAGGAGCTGAGTGACCCGCTGTAAGCAGGCTTGTTCCTAAAGAACGGGAGTGTGACTGTGCGTGTGTGTGCGTGTGCACGTGCGTGTGCGTGGAGCGTGTGCTGGGAAGGTTACGGGTGGCGCCGCGTGGTTCCCTCCCCCGTGCTGGCTGCAAAAACATCTCCCGTTGGACACATCCAAGGTCCGGCAGCTGGAGCATTTCAGGGTTCAGGAAATAAACTCCAAGAATGCAATCAGTCTAGGATGTCTTCAGTTCATCATCCCATCGCAAACTCCTTTTTTCTTTTCTAAAATGTTGCCAACGAAGCAAAAGTTCAAATGAGGGAATCTCGTTCCCTACCCTCCGTGCCGGCCACGGGCGGCCTGAGGCTCAGGAGCGGTGGTGGGTGTAGACGGTCACCGTGAGGCCCTGTGACGCCTTTCCCGGGACGCTGGAGGCCTTAGAATGCTCTGATCCAAGCTCTTCCCTTTTGTTCCTCCATCCTTCCAAATTTCACAACTGTCCTTTGCCTTCTTCTTCCTTTCCTTAACCTCCACTCACCGGCTCCTCTTCACAGAGCTTTAAAAATGTGCTTTGCATTTTCCAAATATATTCATGCTGCCCGTATGTAACAGTCACTGATGAGTCACGGAGCGGGAGTCACGGAGGGCCACGCACCTTCCCAACACCTGCATCAGTGTAACAAGGGGGGCTACTGCCGTTTGGTCTCTCTGTTCCCTTCCAAATGGTCTCCACACCGTAGAATGTTTGCCAAGACGAATTCTTGCTCTGCTGCGTGTCGTCAAGTGATTGTTGCATTAACGAAGCGGCAATTCTATAAGCAATCAAGAGTCCGGTAACTCTCTAGGGACAGGTGGCAGCAGCCCAGACCTGCCCCTTCATCATAGGACTCAAGGCTGCCTTCTTGAGAATGAGGTCCCCCAACTCTTCCCAACTCAGCTGCCTGCTCACGGGCTGGCTGACCTCGGCTGCCCACTCTTCTCCCAGGACCACACTTCCCCGGGGAACAGGTGAGCATTCTGCAAACGAGCGATCAGAACCACGAGTGAGCGCCACGGCTGCTACCAAAACACCTGCACTGCCGTGGGGGTGACCAGCCCGAGCCGGGTGGGCTGGGCCATCGGGTCAACCCCAGGGACCAGCCTGGATGAGGGGACTCCAAGCAAAGGTCCCGTGGGCTGGGGCTGGGACCCCAGAGAAGGCATGCTAGGAGCGTCCCTGACCACCTCTCTGTCCCTCTGGGGTGGCCTGCAAAATGGGCACAGCTCCTTAACCTCCCACAGTCCAGAGCTCCTGGATGTCTGGTCTGGTCCAACACCTCACACGCAGCACGCCCCTGGCAGGCGTGGCCTCGGCCCAGAAGGGGGGGACTGCCTGGTCTGTCCATATTCCTCTAATGCAGAAGGGCCCCTGTCAGCCGCCCTCCCCTGTCCACTTCTCCTCCTGGGCAGCGATGCAAAACAGCCCCTTCACCCCCGCCTGCAGACAAGTAGCATGGAGCCCTTTCCAAGGCTGCACGCATTCTGTCCCTTGAAGTGCCACCCCCTCCGCGACTTCTGCGGCGGTTTACCCTGATTCCAGTTCTGCTGGCATCCCACAAGCTGGCCCTATTCACAGGAGGTGGCTGGCCCAGAATGACGTCAATTTTGGGGGGCAGGAAATACCTTCCTCGTATGCCCAAACGTCACTGCTTTGAAATGACTGCTGCAGACACTCTTCCAAAACCTTACGCTATATCCGAGGACTCTCAGAAATGTAAATAAGCAGCAGCAGCATAAACAGAAAACAGTTAATACTTGAGCCCGTGGTCTTTGTAGATCCAGAAAGTGCAGCTTCCCCAGCTTTTCTAAAATAAGACGCCGAGAGAGGAAACACCATACGCCCACGCCTGTGCCCACTGCCAGCTGCAGGGGGTGGGGGCAAAATGGAGCCTGCTGTTTACTCTTCATGTCCCTAAACGGTGACGGAAGGATATCTTCTAGCCATGCCCCTCCTTCAAGCATCTCTGGAGACAGCACGGTGGCGCGCAGGCGCCAGGAGCCGAGCCTGCATCTCTCCTCCAAGCTGCATGGGGAGGTTAGCTGTGGCAGGAGTTCACTGACACTTGACATGGAAATAAAGTTTTATTGAACACCGCCACGTCCATCTTTCTCACTAAAAGGACGGTGTTGACCACATGGCCCGCAACGCTTGAAATACTGACTGTGTGGCCTCTTCCAGACCGAGTTTGCCATGCCAGCTCCACAGGATTCTCGAGATGCAGAAGGCTTTGCAAGGCCGCCATCGGTGGCCATCGAAAACGATCTCCGTGACATTGCCCGGCTCCCACGCCTTGGAGCCTGTCCTGACACACGCCACGCACATGCACATACACATGCACAGCCCACGGCTCCACACAAGGCTTCCACCCAGGTCAGGAGGGACCAGCACGTGCCCACCCACCTGAACTGTCTCAAGCACGATGCCAACTTGGCGAGCCTACTTTCCTGTTCTCTCTTCTCTCTGTGCATCCCAGGACCCCCTCGCAACCCAGATGTCCACTCCAGGTCACCCTTCCCTGCGGCCTGCAGCCATAGCGCACTTCGGAAGGGCCCAACACCCAGCTCACAGGGACAGGATGAGCAAGGCAGACTAAACAACAGAAGCATCTGCTCGAGCAAGAACTCAGAATCTCCAGTCTTAGAGGTCCACCCGCATCTGGCACAGCTGAGCTCAGCCTCTTGGCCTGGTTCCTTTATCTAAAGCACAGCGCCCTCACATGGCGCCGAAGGGAAGGACAGTCCCGAAAACCCAGAGGCCTGGAGTGAACCCTCACTGCTCAGATACCATCTGTGAGAGGGCCCAGCACTCCCTCCGTGGGGATTTAAATCGATGTTATCCAGATTTCCACCCCCGGCTCTTTCACAGATAGCTGCTCGCTGGAAACTTTACACCAAGAAGTATAAACTCTGACCTCTACAGAAACTCACTAAACCGCAGCAAATGGGATTCAGATGTTTCCATGTACAGTACAGTGATGTGACCTAGACTTTAAACACTTTGGCAAAAACAGCAAAAATGATGTGGGCCTTCGAGTCCCTCCCAGAACATGATACAGCCTTGACCCGAGTCCGACAGTGATCTGAGCCTTTCCTACTTAAGCCTCCTCACCCCCAGCCCACATTCTCTGTCCCCTCCACCGTCCATTGCCCTAGTTTAACCAAAGAAATCAATTTCTCCCAGCTGATCACATTCTGATCGGGACACAGACAAGTCCTGAAAGGGACACTGGCGAGGGCCAGTCCTAGGATCACCCCCACGGTCCCCTACATTGCTCAGAAGAAAGCAGAAGTCTCATAAAAACCTGGACCCCCTCCCCCAGGCTTTCCGGCTTTGTTGCAGAGTCTAGGCGACTTGTTGCAGACTGTGTGGGTAAGGGCTGGGGAATTCTGCACGGTGCAACCAGAGAAGGTGAAGCGGGACCAGCAGTTTCCTGTGCCCGGGAAGGACAGACAGAAGATGGTGTCAGAAACTGCTTCCGCAGCAGTCAGTCATGACAGTGAATAGAGAAACAGCTGTGTGTTCCATGCCCTGAGCCTACACCAGGCTTTGCTGGGGCAGAGCATCTGCCAACCATGTGCGCCCCTGGAGGCACCATGGAGAGGCGGAGAAGCACTCGGCTGGGCACCCGCGTAGCCGAGAGATGACTGAGTCCAGGCAGGGCAGAGGTGCGCAAGGACTTCCCCTGCCCCACAGCACACCTGTCACAGGTGTCTCCTATGCAGCAGGGCAGGGTCTTGGGGACACAGGAAGAGCTACTGCCACAGCAAGGGAGCTTCCGGGGACAGGGAGTCTTATCCCCTAAGCACCCCTCAGGCCTGGCTCAGGTGGGTGCCACACAAATGCCTACTTGTAGCATAAGGGAACAAGGGTATGAACACCCTCCCCCTCCTGGTCCTCACCTTGAGACTTAGAGTAGATTAGTGGGCTGTCAGGGGAGCCCTCCAAACTTCGTTTCCCAGGTACAGAGGACTCAAAAGGACAGAAGGGAGGTGAGTGCCCATCACCCCATCCCCTCATCCATGAAGAGGTGAGATACACACATCCAGGTGTTCCCCGTGACATGCACACATACACACCTGTGCACATGCAAACAGTGTACTCTCCACACCTGGACGAAGTGCACCCCTCAGCCTAGCGGCCTGACAGGTACTGCTAGACCTGCACTGCCCGGGACCGGATGAGGCAAGTCCCCCCTAGGTCTGTGGTGGGGCACCCCTGGGGGCTGAAGTTCCCACCGAGGCGCCCCCACCGAATCCCAGCCCTCCTCGGGACCACCCCCTGAGCCGAGACAGACCGACAGGCAGACCCGGAGGGGGCGCAGGCAGTACCAGGCCGCCGGCGGAGCCGCAGGTGCTGATAGAGACCAGGGAGCCCGGGTGGCCGAGCACACGGCCCGAATAGAAGCACAGTTCGGCGGGGCGTCCGCGGCGCCCGGCCTCGCCCGCCTCCTCCACCTCGAAGCCCCGGGACAGGAAGCGCAGGTCGCGGCGCAGCTGCAGGTAGAGGTCGCGCCCGAAGGCCGGCAGGTGCAGCAGCAGAGCGCGCTCGCCGGGCTGGGGGCGCGCGGGGGGCGCGCGGGGGCGCCGCCGCCTTCGGGGCCCGGGGACACCGGGCAGCGGCGGCAGGTGCACGTCGTCCGGGCGCACCCGCCGCGGGAGCACCACTTCCACGTCGGCCGCCGCGTCGCCGACAGCTGAGGGGAGAGAGGAGACGCGTCAGCGGCGGGGCCCGCCCGGCCGCCCGCCCTCCCGCCGGCCGGCCGCCCGCCGCGCGCGGGTCCAGCGCTGGGCACGCCGCGCCAGCACCGGGACGACGCGGCCCGAGCGGGCGCCCCCTTCCCTTCCCTTCCTTCCCCTTCTCCTCCCTTCCCTTCCCTTCCTTCCTTCCCCTTCTCCTCCCTTGCCTTCCCTTCCCTTCCCTCGCCGGCACCTCCATGCCCGCCAGCGCCTCCGCCCGGGCCCGACCACCCGGGGAAGGTCTCCCGCGCGGCCGCCCGGCTCGGAGCCCCGTCCTGCGGCTGCGGCCTGCGCCTCCTCGGCCCGGGCGCTGTCAGCCGTGCGCCGCCGGAGCCGGGCTGCGCCGGCCGGCGGGGGCCGCTAGGACGCCTCGGAGCGCAGAAGCAAGGTGGTCGCGGGAGGCACCAGCGAAAAGGGACGGTGGGAGAGGGCGCGCTACCTGTGCCCGGGTCCAGTCCCCAAACCAGCAGCAGCAGCAAGGGCAGGACGAGAGGAGGCAGCAGGGCGCCGTCACACATGGTACTTGGGAGGAGCAGCCTCCCGGACGGTCGCGGCGGAGCAGGAGCGCGCGAGGCGGCGGCGCCAGCCGGAGTGAAACCCTCCAGCCTTTGGAAAAAGTAATTAGCGCTGCGGACAAACCCAACGTGGTAAATCCCAAGCCCCGCCTTCTCCTCGAAGAGCAGGAGGTGATTGGGCTCTTGCTTTCTCGTGCCCCGCCTCCCCCTTCCCTATTGGCTAGGACGGGTCAAAACCAGGGTGCGTAGTTAGGTTGTAAGCACTTTCTTACACGTGGTTTCTGGGCAGTGGCGGAGACCGGACACCAGGTGGCGCACGATCCCGGAGGACCCGGGAGAACACCTTGGGAGAACACCGGGAGGATTCATCAGGAGTTGATCCTCATTTTTGAAATTCTCTGACCCTGCTGCCCAGCTGCACAAGAAGACAGGCCTGAAATCGTCCCGGCCAACCGTTTCATCCATAAAAGCACATTCTCTCTGCATCTGAACTGAAACTAGTTTTGGCTGTTTGCAGCTGGGCACTTTTTTTGCACAGCTGTGTTTGCACCTGCTTGACGGCTGCATCGGATACAGCAGTATTTATCCAAACCCTACACACCGCCTGTCGTCTTTATCCTCACAGAGGACAGTGGAACCCGTGTAATCTCACCCTCTTACAGATTGGGAAACTGAGGGAGAGCGAGTTTAAAGAGCTTGCGAAGTTACCTAGTGAACTGCTGTTCGAGCAAGAGCTAGAATGAGTGGTGCTGACTTCCAGCCCCGGGCTGCTCACTGGGAACAGCATGAGCCCTGGAAGGCAGGCAGAAGGGAATATTAGCCCGGTTTTCCTGGTTAGGAAGCTGCGGTTCCAAGTGGCAAGGCCTGAACTTGAACACAAGTCTTCTTCCAGCAACAGAATGAGCTTGTCCTTCCCACCCCCATTATAACTGAGGTCTTCAGGAAAGGTGATTTCTTTAGCTTCCCGAGGAGCATCTTGTAAAACAACAAAACCGAATTCATCAAAGTGTAACCATTCTATGTCACCTGCCCTATATCCTGTTTTCTCAGAGCAGACAGGTCACAGCGTTTCTACTGGACTCTGCTTGGGGCTCGAACTCATCACAGAATTACATATCAGAAGGAATCAAGCAGCCAATACTGTCCAGCTTCCATGATGTTCAATGAACCCAGGGAGCGGGCTGTGTCACTGATTCTCAATGAAGCCGGTTACTTTCACTCACTACTGCAAACTGGTTGTTCTGTGTATCAACAGCGGCATGGCTGGTGGAATCCCTTCTGCTCTCCGCAGCTGCTGGCCACGGCTAGGCACCTGCAGCTCCTAGAAACCTCAGCACACCTGCTCACGGCCAGCCTGGGGCTTTGTCCTTCCTCTGGACAGCAGCCTCAGTCAACCGGAGGCTCAGCAGCACCTTCTGGTGGCACAAGAAATCATGGTGAGCTTTCGGGTGCAGCTTGGTTGGCAAACGAGCCACTCCAAAGGTCTGCCACTGAAAGCTAGTGAGTAGAAGCCACAGAACAATTACTTCTGTCATTGAAGTCAGCCTGAAGTAGTCATTGTCAACCTAACAGATGCTTGCAAGCTAAAGCAACAGCAAGATAGCATTACATCCCCTAGACTGTGCAAAACTAAAGACCCTGGAAATATCAAATACTGGAGCGGACACTCTTCGGCCCATGGGAGGGAGTGTACATCGGCAGAGGCACTTAGAAGAACAATTGGGAAATCTGTGGTAAAATTAAAAATGCGCACAGCCAGCAACTCTATAATTCCCCTTTTGGTTAACTACCACGAAGAAACACTGACGCGGGTACAAATAATGGTAATCACGGCACACTCTTCAGAGCAAACAGTTGCAAAGACCTGTGTGTCCATCATCACATACATGGCTAACAGAACATCAGGCATAAATTAATAAAAATGTAATATCCTATTTATAACCACATGGAGAGACCTCCAAGACTATTTGTCAATTTTTTAAAAAGAAATCAAGTTGCAAAATAATAATGTAAAATGATACTACTTATGCGAACACACAATACTAAATAAGTTGCATGATAAAATCATAGAGAAAAGTCAGAGAGGATACAAATCCATCGTGTTTAAGATTTAGTGGTCTTTTTATATTAAATTGCATGAAAGGAAGCTTCGTTGGGGTCCAGCAAGGATAACTAAAAGCATTCTAGGTGTCTCCAGCAGAGGAAATTTAACAGAGAATTGATTACAAAGGTTGGAAGGGGCTAAAAGAGTAGGTTCAGCTATTATATGCCGTCCCTGCCCCTGGGGTGCGTTTTAACCACAGAGGCCTGTGCTTGCGGCTGCTCTATTGAAACCACTGTACGTTGGTTCCGAATCTACCATAGGTGAGACCTTGACCAGGACCCCATACCCACGGTCACACCAGAAACTTCCAACACCTGCTGCCCTGGACTCATACCTCCGTCTCTTGCCATCTATTGTCCTACCAGAACCTAACAGAACGCCTAAAAAAATGTAATAGACTTAGAGCATGTAGGTTGCAGACTTTCAGCTTCAACAATAAAAAGGCAGACAGCTTCAACATAAGAGCAGACACGTGGGGCTGAGACAGACCCTCTAAGCAGAGGTCTTAACCTGGCCCGGATGAGTCAGAATTCTCTCTGCTCCTCATCCCTGTGTTCATCGGTCCACATTCAAAGCTTAAGCTTCCCTCCCAACATGAACTATTGATTAAATGCAGTGCCTATCAAAATTTCATGGGGATTATTCATATAATTAGAAAAATAAAAAAGCCTAAACATTTGTATGGGACCACATACACACACACAAAAACTAAATAATCAAAGCAATCTTGAGAAAGTAGAACAAAGATGGAGGCATCGCACTTCGTGATTCCAAACTATATTACAAAGCTATCATGATCAGAACCATATGGTATACAGTGTGAAAACAGACATGTAGACCAATGGAACAGAATTAAGAGCCCAGAAATAAACCCATGCCTCTGTGATTAAATAATATTTGACAAGGGAGCCAAGAAACACTCAAGGAAACAGGACAGTCACTTCAAAAACAGTAGTGGGGAAATTGGATACCCACATGCAAAATAAGAAAATTGGACCCGTATCTTACACCACGCACAAAAAATCAACTCAAAATAGATTAAAGATGTGAATGTAAAACCTAAAATTGAAAAACTCATAAAAGGAAAAACAGGGGAAAAGCTCCTTGACATTGGTCTCGGCAATGGTGTGTGTGTGTGTGTGTGTGTGTGTGTGTGTGTGTGTGTCTCCAAAAGCACCAACCACATAGCAAAATAAACAAGTGGGACTCCATCAAATCTACAAGCTTCTGCACAGGAAAAGAAATAGTCAACAAAGTCAAAAGGCAACCTACATATCTGATAAGTGGTTAACATCCAAAATATTTAGGGAGCTCATATAACTCAATAGCGCGCGCACACACACACACACACACACAAACTCCAATGGACAGAGACCAGAATAGACATTTTTCCATGGAAAATATAGGAATGGCCAACAGGCATATGAAAAGGCTTTCAACCTCACCAGTGACCTGGGAAATGCAAATCGAAACTACCTCACAACTGTTAGCATGGCCATCACCGAAAAAACAGGAAGGAATAGTGTTGGTGAGGATGTGGGGAAAGAAACCCCTTGTGCACTGTTGGGGGGAATATGATGATATAACCACTACGGCAAACAGTATGGAAGCTCCTCAAACAAGTAAAAATAGAACGACCTGTGATCCAGCAATTCTACATCTGTGTATATATCTGAAGACACTCTGCTAAGTGAACTAAGTCACAAAAGGACAAATGTTGAATGAGTCCTCTTAGCTGAGCTATCCAGAGTAGTTAGATTCCTAGAGATGGAGGGTAGAACGGTGGTTACTAGGGGCTGGGGGAGGGGATGGAGAGTTGGTCTTTAATGCAGACAGAGCCTTTGGGAAAATGAAGAGTTCTGGAGAGATTGATGGTGAAAATGGTCTCACAACAACGTGAATTTACTTAGTGCCACTGAATTGTACACTTGAAATGGTTAAACTGGTAAATATCATGTTATATACGTTTTCCCACAATAAAAATGCTTTTAAAATAAATCACTAGTGCCCTGGCTGGTTTTGCTCAGTGGTTAGAGCATCGGCCCACAGTCCAGAGAGACCCAGGTTCAGTTCCTGCTAAGGGCGTGTACCTCAGTTGCAGTTTGTCCCCGGCCCCGGTTGGGGTCATGTGGGTGGCAGCCAGTCGATGTGTCTCTCTCACATTGATGTTTCTCTCTCTCTTTCCCCCTTCCTCCCTCCCTGTCTATCTGAACATGAATGCAAAAATGTCCTTGGGTGTGGATAAAAAAATCAATCAGTCAGTCACTATTGGCTATCATCTCCTTTCATGCTAACACACACAATTTGCTTCGTCTTAATTTTTTTGGAAGGGCAGAGCTTAAACCCATTTCACAGATGGAGGAGTCAAGGCTGGGGGCGGGGGATGTAAAACAAGGCAAACAAGCAGATTGAAGCCCTACAGGGGGCAGCAGAGGTCTGAATGTGAGGAGAGGGCCGCTCACCTTAGCTGGCTCTGGGTTTGGCTCAGTGGCTGAGCATTGACCCTGCACCAAGAGGTCGCAGGTTCCATTCCTGGTCAGAGCACATGCCCCGGTTGTGGGCCTGATCCCCAGTGGGGGACATGCAGGAGGCGGCCAATTGATGTTCTCTCTCATCGATGTTTATCTCTCCCTCTCTCTTAAATCAATAAAGAAAAAAAATTAAAAATCATGGGGAACTTGTTTCAGTTTGAGCTCCAAAAGCAATAAACAAAGGTCTAAGTGAAAAAAATAATAATAATAAAAGTTAAAAAAAAAAAAATTCCTTGCTGGCTCCCAGTTGACCAAGCTCCTCAATTTCTCAGCGGGCCGGCCTGTGTTTTGTGAACAACTCTCTCCGGTGGGCAGAGATCTCTCCCATCGTGTCGCTGGACCTGACCAGCAGGGCGGTCACAGGCCTCTCTTGGACACTTCACGCCTGACCGTCCTGTTTGGGTGCTGGTAGCCATCATCCCTGTTCTATTGTTATT